CAACAAAGTGAGGTCCTGACTAGCCTCTGCCCTCTTTCCTCCCTTCCAACCCCCAGGTAATGGAGCTGAGTAAGTAGTAAGGAACTCAGCTTTTGGTCAGAGGACCTGGGTTCAAGGTGTGTGACCTGGGCGAGCTGCATAACCGTTCTGAGCCTCAGTTGGCCTTCTATAAAATGGGTCAATGATGACTGCCTCCTGTAGTTGCTGAGAGAATGAAGTTAGATTGTTTAGAGTGTCTGGCATCTAATAATGCTCAATGATGGTAGGTGTGTTGGGCTGCTTCTCTTCAAGGCCAAGGTCAGGCCCATCTCTACTCCACTCCTAATCCCAGAGGAGAAATGCAGAATAGTGCCTAGTGACTTCACTACAACCCCCAGGGTAATGAAGCCAGAAAATGCCTCAGTCACTCCGTGGGTCCAGGGAGCCGGTGACTGTTGTTTCTCCGTCCTCAGCCACCCTTTAGCACCCGACCCGGCCACTCAGGGGTCAGCTCTGCTCAGGGTTGCCGAGGTCCTTGTCCAGGTGTACCTGGTAGAGGCTGGCAGGTTAGATAAATACAAAGAAACCCAAGTCAAGGTCCCCAATCATAGGCTGCCTGTTAGCGGGGCCCACGTGGGAAATCTGTCACAGAGGAGCACATGGGGCACAGAGACCCCCCCCCCCCCTCAGATGCCATCAGTAACTTTCCAGGGCAGTTAGCACTCCAGATCGGAGTTAGGGGGCCCCCTGACCTGAGGGCCCCAAGAGTTTGAAGAAGCCTGGCGTTGGCGTGAGCGAAGGGCTCCGATGTTCTGTTTGGCCGAAGTCCTGCCAGCAGTGTGGCCGGGCCCGGGTCCCACCTGGGAGTGGCGGCCTCCCTCTGGCCCTGGCAGCCCTGGCAGCCCTGGCAGCCCTGGCTTAGTCCTGGACCGGATGGTCGTTCTGCTGTTAGGCCGTTTGGTCAATTAGCGTATTATGCTTTAATTATTATAGATGTATCCCTATAAATTTAACTTAAAACAATAGTACTAATGAAAACAATGCACTAAAAAAAACAGTACTAATGGAAACCTTTCTCATAGGATCTACTAAATCTAAATGCATTTCCTAAACTGGGCAAGTTACACTTATAGATAAAAACTTATCAGA